GTCGTCGCCACTAGAAGAAGAATCATAGTCTTCTGCACCACTCTCACCACTGCTATCGCTAAAATGCACAGGACTAGCATCTTCAGCTTCATGAGTCCGTTCTTCAAGCCTTTCTACGGCCTTTTCAGCACAAAATCGTTTCGGAGGACGAATACCGGAAGGTCCTGGGTCCATTATTCTGTCCCCGTCGTTTTATTCTAGAAAAATTCTGAAATTATGCGAACTGAACCCAAAAATGTGAAATTATGCGATTCTGTTGATTTTAACAAAGAATGATAAGGGAAAATAATCAGAAATAATGCAAAAAAATGATCAAATTTAGCTAAATTATGCGGGGTGCATCAAACCACGAGGACAGCATTACGAACCTGTCACAATACTAGATCTAGTGTTTACCACTGGAATTCGCAGATCGAAGTAAACAAGAATCTCTCCTGCATTCAAATTGCGCTCTTTCTTGCTATCCCATTGAAAAGACAAAGGAAAACATTGCCGACCTTCATTTCCGTTTGCCAAATTGACATTAGCCAGGATTTCTCTGAGTAGGCCGGCCGAATTTGAAGCCCAAATTCCGGGCCGCGAAACGCGGTTTGTGGTCCAAAATAAAGAGTGGCTTGAGCCACGAAACACGGTTCGTGGTAGTCAAAGAGTTTATAATTATTGTACCTACATCATGTACTTTACTTTTAACAGTTGAATTTCAACAAAATATTTCTTGAGTATATGCAACCAATTCCATAGATTAAGATACCACAATAATTTTCTTTTTCTGATTTTCAAAATGTTGGGCTTCATACATTTTAACAGCTGGTCGGGATAATGGGGTTTTTTTTATGTCCTTTTTTCTTGGCTCACAAATTCATGCTTTTTTGCTGTGCTTGTTCTATAAGTTTCTGCTTTGGCCAGTTGTACGTGACGGTACCCTGGACTCTGTTTTTTTTTAATATTTTTTGGCTTTACAAAATAATTTTTGGACATTTGTGGAGGGTGAAATTCCTTGTACATTCCTCATCCTTGCCTCATCATACTGTATCCTTGCCTCATGGGCCTGTTTTCCTCCCCTCATCCTTGCCTCATACTGGTTTGGTCCCCTCAGTCTCAGTGATTGTAGAAAAGTATATGTGCAGTTCAGTTCTTGCTCCTCTTCATTCCCTCGCAGAGAAAATTGAGTGACTTAAATGAAGAAATGACCTCAAGTTCTTTGATTCAAGATTTACAAACACACACAAAAAAAAGAAAAATTGTTTTGTAACTTTGGAAAGTGTTTGCTAATTAGTTAGCCCAGTATGTGAATCCGGCATTGATATAGGCCTATTTCCACTTATTCTTTCTTACTGGGCCCGTTTCTCAAACTTGTAGAATGTATGCATGCTTGAAATCTGTGGTGGCAATTTTGCAGTACTGAAGAAAACAGTCTCCATAGCTCTCATCTCTCTCATGTGTGTGATTTATTATAGTTTGCAGCGCTGAAGTACACAGTCCCCATAACTCTGTTCTCTCTCACTGTGTGCTTTTTTGAGAGTTGCACACTACACGCTAGCACACACCCTTCATGAAGTAGGTCATAATATTACTTCTAACTACCCTGTTGTTCAACTTTAGGCTACTGTTTGGTTGAATAGAAACGTTGTGAAGGTAATATTTTTTTTTTGGGGGGGGGGGGGTAAAAAAAATAGTCATTCAATTAATTCATTAATTGTATAGTGTATGCCAGCCTTCTTTTCCACAGGCTGAGGAAATGTGACCGTTTTGCTGTTGACTTGTTAGTTGTACACTCCCACCGAATCTCTTTACTGTTCTGCTTAGAAATTGTCTGTTTTTAAATAAGATTACCGTACTCTGAATGAAGCATTGGGGTACATTCACAGAAGAGCACATCGCCTGAGAAAATGACTTAATATTTCAAGTGTGACTCAAGATGTCAGTATGAGCGATATTGATTTAGAAATACTATTCTTCATTTTTGGGGAAAAATCCGAAGTACTGGTCTGAGACCTGGGGACCTTTTGGTCAAGTCCTTCTAAACATGATTGTTGAATGAGAGCTGGAGAAGTTATGTAGCCCTACCTACCCTTTTGAGGGTTTTTTTCGGGCGGGGGGGTAGATTCAAATTGAAAGCTGATTTCCTTAGTTTAGGGCAAGGTATGTATTTGAGAAAGGCTGGCTGCTGCAGAAAATGAGACGGAAACAGGGACTTGTTCACTTATATTGGTATTGTGTGCTTGTTCCATCCCCAACTCTTGGCTTAGCAGTAGATGTATTATTACATAGTCATAGTCATAGTGTGACTTTGATTTAGATTTAGCAATGTACCAGAAATAGTTCTCATTTTGCATATATGCCAAACTTTGATTTAGATTTAGTGATGTACCAGAAATGGTATTCTTTTTGTGTATGCCACGCTGGTGTTCATTTGGGCTTCTCAGATAAGTTGGTCAGTCTCTCTGTTTTTGTTTTTGGTGCAGTAAGTGTTTTAGCGGTGCTCGCAACTGCATAAAGTCATAGTCGTATTTATGAGCGCTTTGGTCGACCTGAAGAGAATGTGTTAGTTTTTGGTGCTCATATATATCTAAGACTCAACAGAATACCTCTCCTAGCTTGACATCGTTACTGCTGTAGTGTTGACCTGTGGTCTGTACTATTTCATTCGTAAATTTAAGTGTTTGGGTTCAACGACCCGATCAACACTGTTAGGTTATTCAAGAGGCAGGACCTTCGAATATAATGTCCATCTCCGATAGGACTGAGCCAAATGGGTTCAGAGACTTGAAACTCACTCCACGAAATGATCAGTTTAAGAATGCCTGGTGTGGGACTCGAATTAGGGCGGTCTGCTCAGTTGTCCATCATGATGATACCGTCTGAGCTTACTATTTCTCTTGTGACTCCTTCACTTCCAGTTGGTGACTGTGGGCTCTCTCGGCCTTGGGTGTCCTGGCATGTTTGTTTTGTTGTTAAGTAGTAGTACAACTATAGTATAATGTAGCTACTTTTTAAACTACTGCAGCATGGCAAAATTAACTGTTCTATGATTCACAAAATATTCTGTGTTTGCACTTGTGATTCGGCCAAAAGCGGGCTATTTGGCACAGCTCATAAAGCCTTTTTGCATTTGACAGATTTTCAATTTATGAAATTGGCACGAATGTGTACTTAGTATCCACTATGTTGAATTGAATTGATGAGGGCATCAGAAATTTGATCTTTTATGCTCCTCTTCATGCCAAACAAAGGTTTCTCTCTGGGTGTTATCATTTTGTTTCTCCGTGCACAAACAACTGTTAGTGCCTCTATCTATCATGATGTTAACTCTTTAATAACGAATATTAGGTGTGAGAAACTAGTACTAGATCTAGTACAGGATATATACAGTCAGGTATGGATAAGTCAAACACGTCTGGGGTTGACAAATGTGTACTCATCCATATATTCATTCAGGTTATGTCATATATTAAAAGTATATCAGTTGGGGAATGGCTTAGCAGCATATGAGGTGTATGCGTAATTTCAGGTTTTCCATGTTGGTTTTATCTGTGCCCAACTACATAGGTTTTTTCCATGGACAATGTTACCAGAAAGGGTAGGGAGGTTCTCATTTGCAAATTGTTGGCGGCGTCAACGCTCGGTGTTTTTGTCGAAATAGCGATAAAGTACTGATTTGTAATGATCTCAGTCTTGAAAAAAATTAGGCTCCATATATTTGTTATAGTGATTATACTCTGTTAATGTGGAGATGTTTAGTGCTCTTGATACTCTTTTATTGTCTGTCAAACATGGGGTTGCAGCCAGTGACTGACTTTAACAAATTTGATCAAATTTTAAACAACTACCATTTTCTTAAAAATTGACGGAGAGGTTAAAGAATGGTACCAAAATGTTCAGTGGATATAGGCCTTTCAAATGGAACTGATAAATTTGGCATACAACTACTTTGAAAATTTAGTTTCTGGTACCTACATTGTTATTCCCTTTGTGCTGTGCATCTTACTGTGTTAACAGCATCCCGCAGCGACCAGCGGAAGTGGAATAACAGCTACTTTCTTCTTTGTTTTATGCGGAAGATGTGGGTTCAATTCCCATATATGGGGAAGATTTTTATCGAGTTTCTCATTACTGTTCGCTGTTATAATCACTCTCAGCCCAAGTTGGACGTGACATGCAGGTTCAAGCATCCTTCCTCTTAAAAAGTAAATGATTTAAATTAGGGGGGAGGGGGCCCAATTGTCCATTTTTAAATGAGACCCATCACCGGTCCTCATTCCCCAGATGGTAGGCATAAATACAGTACAATAACAATACCACACTGGGGCAGACTAGAAGACTGATTTGTTACATTTTGGAAGGAAGTTAATGTTTCTGCCGTTGTTGAGCAGAATATTGTCAGTTCCTCCCTTTCTTTAACGTTTCACTGTGTGAACAAGTGACTATGATGATGTGTCATTTGGCCAATATCTGCTGCTCATGACATCGTTCTGTGAGTTTGTGCGTGTGTGTGTGTTTGACTGTGTGATATTAATGTACATGCGTCAAAGATCACTGTCAGAACTGTCAACCTTTTTCATGTTTATCGCCGTTTGAGAATAATAAAAACGCTGAAATAATCATTATTTGAAGATACCCTTTCTCCTCTTAGTAATTGAGTTTTAATTTTGTGCTCCTGAAAAGGCTTTTGCTGTGTCGAATGTGTTATCGTGTTGTCCCCTTGGCTCCTGTAGTTTAACTATACACACATGTGGTTTAACTATGCACACCCACCTCATGTAGCGATTCAACTTGCACTGGCTCGTCGCAACTCTCTGCTCTGTGCCTCGACCGCTACTCACGCAGTCTTCAAAAGTCTGTGGGGTAAGCATCTTACAACTACACCACAGACCTCACTGTCCAGTGGAAATTCGCTATGCATTATCATTGTCATTATTCTGCATTCTGAATCAAAAATGGAAATAAACTGTACACATGAAAAAATAACAAATGGCAAAAATTGTTTACAAGTCAAACAGTCACATGTAAAACACAGTAATTTTATTTACTAGTGACAAAAGAAATGCAATGCAACAATTTTATTTAATAGCAAGCATGGCTCGCTTTTTCTTCTTTCGTTTACTCGTGGCATCGGCAAACAGCGTCACGCTCTTCGACTCCTCTAGTTGCTTCTTCAGGAAGGACAAACCCGCGAGGTTGAAGGCCGTCACATCCTGGGGGGGGGAAGGAACAAGTGAAAAGATGAGGTGAATTCTTTGATTCCTGCAGGTACATGTCTGCATACAGGTACATGTCTGCATGCAGGTACATGTCTGCATGCAGGTACATGTCTGCATACAGGTACATGTCTGCATACACTCCCACAAAGAGATAACATTTCATTGGTCTCCACTCACGAAAAATATTCTGTGGCATGGTAAATTCACATACGCACATGTCACAACATGATAAACAATCACCATGAACGGAAAGGATGTGGGTGGTTGGCAGGAGCTCTGGAGCGAGTTGCTTCTTCTTTGCGACCACACACCTATCATCCTTATTGCTCCTGTATTCCCTGTAGGTTAATCTCTAGCAACACCACTAATCTTTCACACTTATACGACCTAACAAGTGCTGTAAAGCTTATCAAAACGAAAACTAAAATGAAAGAGCTTACCAAGACTCAAGAGCGAAAAGTTCCCAGGAAAGACAGCTTATGCAACAAAATTTCACTTTAACTGAACTGAAATATAACCAGTTTCACTATACCCGGTACAAACACATTCGTGTACACAAAAAAATCCTATTCTTTCTCCCATTCACTTTTGCTCCTACGTACATTGTACGACAGAACTGAACGATGTTCTGTTCCATTTTAGGAGGTCACAAATATATCTGGTTTGGCACTAGACACCTCGCCTGACAATTTATGTACAGTATAAGTTATTTGGACACAGGTTTCTAAAACTTTTTTATTGTGAACTCTCTTGAAGCTCCCTACAGACTTCTATACCTATCATAAAACTAGAGCCCTGGACCCCTACAACATGATGTAGATCCTATCCGTACGTCATGTTTTACTATCATATCCATACGACGTGGGGAACTCTGTGCCACCACTTTCCAAAGAAGAAATTCACTCATTAATCTGATCTGTACGCTTTGCATAGCAGTCTATCAAAATGATTTTTTGAGAAATACTAAAAGTTTCAAAGAGATCTTCGTACTAGAAGTATTCTAAAATGTGAAGAATACAACCTTTGGGTTCAAAATTACCCCAGGGCGTACGGATAGGGTTAAAGAAAAGATTGATGAAATCATGGCAAAGTCTGTATCACTGTTTAGTAACAGATCAGGCATATCAGATATCTCCCCCCCCCCCCCCTCAGGCGTGAAATGTTGGGATATCATACCCATATTAATTATTATTGCCCCTTTTCAGAAGATTATCTACTTTAAATTTTAAAACAAGGGCAGAACGCTAAAAAGTTATGTCTAGTGTCCAATTCTTGTCAAAACTTTCCCAGGAATGCATCCAACTAAAAACTCTGTGCCTCACTAAGACCACCACATCCCACCCAGAAGAATATATCCCCATCATTTCATCAAGAACACATCCCAATAACGCAATATCCTAAAAGCAGCTTCCATTAAATTAAATTCGTGACCTCTCAATCATGAGTCCATTTCCCAAACGCTATTCAATCTACAGTCTAGAACACACATACTTTAGCCAATAAGCACATAACAAAATGTGCACAATGCAAAAACATTGAAAAGTCCAACAATTTTTACTATACAAATTTTCCTTTGTGTATAAAACATGCATGTAGGGTAAAATTCCTACACGACAAAAAGATAACCTGCATCCCGCGAATTTCACGATGTGCATGCCAGACTGTATGTCATTTGGCAGAAAGTAAGAACTCTTTTTAGTTTTAGTAGAGGTTTTACGGCACTCGCAACAGCATAAGGTCATATGAGCGCCAGAAGATTAGAGGTGTTACAAGAGAGTAACGAACATAAAAAAGAAGAAGGGGAGATAAGGACAATAGATGTTTGATAGGAAAAGAAGCAAACCACACCAGAGCACCCGCCAACCACCCACTCTTAAAGTTTAAATTAAAGAAAGTAAGAAAGTTCAAAGAAAGTAAGAACTCTTACAGTAGGTAAGAACTTTTAAAGAAAGTAAAAACTGGCAACTCTGGTATACATCCACATCCACTCACCCGCTGCCACTGTACCGCTGTGACCGAGTGCTCCTTGAGCTTCTCCACCACCGCGATGTGAGCGCGGCTAGACGTGATCTCTCCGTGGTGGATTCTGCACAAAGAGAAGAAGGCAGTAAAAATTAAAGTCATTGGAGCTATTAATATCTTTTTAAAGGTTTTGGGGGGCTTTTTGGAACTTGAACAGATGGGTGATGTAAAAAGACCACAGACTTTTTTTAGAACGCCCGAGCAAAGAAAGGATCGGTGAAACACGACTGCCACAGTCTGTGTCACTATTTAGTATCAGGCACTTGGAGACTTTTTTTTTCATTTTTTTTTATAGTAAAGGGTTTTACGGCGCTCGCAACTGCATAAGGTCATATGGGCGCCAAGGGGTGGGTGTCAACAGACTTAGACTGCTCACCTCTCTAGCTTCAACAGCACAAGGTCTGCTTCAACTATCAAGGCACCCCAAAATAGCAGGTTACAAGAGAGTGACAAACATACAAAAGAAGTAGAAATTTGAAAATTTCCATTTTTTCACACAAGTAGGGTGATTGATCAGGCTATCGATTTAGCAAATAAAACAATTTGGCGCCAAAAATGAAAAAGATTTGTGTTGTCAGCTTAGAGCAGTGTACTTGACGTACAGAACTCCATGCTCTACGGACAACTTACTTTAATAAGAAGTTCAGACACTTGCACACCAGCTCCGTGTTTCTGCGACCGCTCAACAGCTCATCCAGGATAGGTAGAAGTTTTGTCACAAAAGAAAATGGCAGTGACAGCAGAGAACCAATCAGGTCGCTGAAACAAAAAAGAGAAATGTATTTTAAACAACTCACTAACCTGAAACAAAAAAGAGAAATGTGTTTAAACGACTCACTAACACAAAAATCTACCTCCACATCTTCTATCATGATGAAGAAAACGGCCATGGCACCAGACATGCGAGGAACATCAAAATAAATTGATAGGTTCTGTAAGACTTACTTATTTTTTTGTTGTTTGTTCACTTGAAGTATAGTTAGAATAGATTTTACTTTGAATAAACACAAAAGGGTGGTTCTTAGAAGATTCACATTAAAAGCAGAGCCTCCTGTAACTTTTGAAAAAGGCATGGAAGTGTGTTGTCTTTGAAAAATAAGACGGGCAAAGGGTAACACTTCTGAGCAAGAAGCATGTCTAAACTGGATATACGCTTTGTGCTTGTCAAATGAAGCTGTCACGTATTTAACGTCCAACCACCGATTCAAAGTAAAAGTAAGTGTATGGGTTTGTTTGTTTTTGTTTCAGTGGAGGGTTTTACGGCGCTCGCAACTGCATAAGGTCATATGAGCGCCAGAAGATTAGAGCTGTTACAAGAGAGTAACAAACATAAAAAAGAAGGAGGGGAGATCAGGACGATAGATGTTTGATAGGAAAGAAGAAGCACCCGCCAACCACCCACGCCACAACAACAATGAGGAAACAAGTCTCACCTGGGTTTCACCCTCCTCAGGGTCTCCAGCACAAAGTCTGAGGGAGTCTCACACCTGTAGGCCACCATCATAGGGTGAGGAGCCGGGGCCTGTCCAGAGACATGCACACAAAGATTCATTTTGATATATTCTATTTGTTTCTTCGTAAAAGAGGAGACTGCTCAAAATGAACACGTTTAATCTGAAGACAGCAGTAAAACAGGAGGAAAACAACCTCTCAAAAACCGAAACCCCAGATAAAGAAAATGCCATGGACATTACAAGTGTAAGTTTACAGTTTTCGTAAGAGTTTTATGGCACTTGCAACACAATAAGGTCATATAACTGCCGAAGATTAGAGGTGTTACAAGAGAGCAACAAGCACAAAAAAAGGAGGAGAGATCAGGACAATAGATGTTTGATAGGAAAGATGGAGCAAACCACACTACAGCACCCACCAACCACCCACACATTTCTGATGGATTTTACAGAAAAATGTTGATAAAAGGCACAACTATGGTAAATTTGCAGTTTTTAATGTATTTTTTAACTCCAGCTATGGAAGTCACCTAACTTTGGAGGCCATTTTCTGGCTAATTTTACCTCTGACACCAGGTGACCTCCACCTCCTTCAATAGCAAATGTGAGGCAGCGTGGTGGAATCAGACTCTCGTCAAAATAATCAAAGTGAAGAAACTTGCATTTTTCCGCAGGTTTGTGAAATTTTATCGAATTTTTATTTTTTGGCTCAACACCTTTCTTGCCTATTAAAGAACTCATTTCTGTGTGGATTTTTCTGAAAAACGATTAAAGGCACAAGAAATGTAAATTTTCAGTTACCACGGACTCTTAAGCTGAGGAAATAACTAATCTTTGGCGGCCATTTTCTCACTAATTTTACCTCTGAAAATAGGTGAACCCCACCTCCTTCTTTCGCACATATCTCAACTTGTTTTCAAGATAAATCGATATTTTTTTCACCCTAAAAAAGACAAGTAAACAAGCTTTAAGATGATACCAATAACTCTACATGCTAAAAAATTGACGAGAGCCTGATTCCATCACGCCGCCTCACAAATATCTCGACTTCTATTCAAGATAGATGGGAATTGTTTTCAACAAACGCAAGGTAAATGAACAAGCTTTAAGATAATAACAATGACTCCATATACACAAAAATTGAAGAGTGCCTGAATCCACTGCGCTCTGACACAAGTCTACAGTTCTTGCATTGAAACTGAGTCTTCGCTGCAACACTTTTCATGATTTTGTCATGTTACTGGGCCTCTTTCAGCTTTATCAGTCTATCAATAAGAACAATAGTAACACTGTAAAGAAGAGGGAGGATTAAACCACATGAGGGCGCCTGTAGAACACCACCAGAACAAGAGGTCAAGACCCACCTTTCCACCCGCCGCTTGAGTCTGCTCAGCGATTTGACTCTCATAAATCTCCAAGGCTTCCATGATGCGTTCCGTCTGGGGGGAAAGAGAAGTACTCTTTATCAAACATGTCAATGACAATGGAGTGGGGATAGATTAACGGATGGACAGACAGACAGACAGACCGAGTCAGCAACTTCTTAGTTTTAGTAGAGGTTTTACGGCACTCGCAACTGCATAATATAAGGTCATATGAGCCCCAGAAGATTAGAGGTGTCACAAGAGAGTAACAAACATAAAAAAGAAGAAGGGGAGATAAGGACGATAGATGTTTGATAGGAAAGAAGAAGCAGACCACACCAGAGCACCCACCAACCACCCACAGCAACTTCTCACATAGATGCCATGAATGAAAACTCATTTAGTAATGTAAGCGTCTCAGGCACAAATAAAACAGTGCCTCACTCAGTCACGTCAGCACCAACCACAAACATTTTTGTTTTTCTTTGGTCTGTCATCCAACTTCTACCAAACGATAACAATTTTACAGGCTGGACCTACTGAGAACAATAAGAAAAAGATTTCACCATAAAGAACAAACACACTTACGCCTTTGACTGTATCCATGGTCTTCTTGCCTGCCATCTTCACCTCCTCTGTGGTTTCTCCTGGGACCTGAGAAAAAACCCAGAACGATGATGTGTTAAGTTGGAGCGTAGAGAAGCCGCAAGCGCAGCATCACAATAACGGTCATGTAGTGCAAAGACGAATTAAGACAGAAACACCAGTATGTTGCACTGAGTTTGTTGAAAGAGAAGCATATCGACACAACAACATTATATGTGAGGCAGCGTGGTGGAATCAGGCTCTCGTCAATTTTTGGGCATGTAGAATTATTGGTATCATCTTAAATCTTGTTCATTTGTCTTTATTTAGGTGAAAAAAGTATCCATTTATCTTGAATGCAAGTCGAGATATTTGTGAATGAAGGGGGTGGGGGTCAACTGCTTTCAGAGGTAAGATTAGTGAGAAAATGGCCGACAAAGATTAGTTATTTCCTTAGCTTAAGAGTCCGTGGTAACTGAAAATTTACATTTTTTGTGCCTTTAATCAACGTTTTTAAGAAAATTCCATACAGAAATGAGTACTTTAATGGGCATGAAAGGTGTTGAGCCAAAAAACAAAAATTTGAACAAAATTCACAGACCTGTGGAAAAATGCAAGTTTCTTCACTTTGATTATTTTGACGAGAGCCTGATTCAACCACGCTGCCTCACATATAGAGAAGGAAAGAAGCAAGACAGACAGACAGAAACACCAGAATGTTTCATTGAGTAAAGAAAAGCACATCCTCACAATAATGGTCATATAGTTCAAGGCAGAAGCAAGACAAATACACAGAAGCAGCAGAGGGAAAGAAAAGACATAGGACCTACCAGTGGAGCCCTCCAAACACCCACAGATTGTTGCATGAGCAGAGCAGGTCAAACTTTCTTACAAGAGATGATTCAAAGCTCTCAAAAATAAACCGAAAATTTCTAAAAAGCTTTAAAAACACACTGCTAAATCCATAAATTACTTTGTGGTTACAACAAACAAAAAGTCGGAGCAAAACTTAATTAAACCATAATGAATGGAACGTGTCAGTCATGGAAATGTAACAATTTTGCTACATTAGAAGAGGCCAAAACTTGAGCCTCACACCTCCCTTGCACTTACCACTTCCTCCCCGTCTTTGAGCAGCGACTCTGATTCCTCCTCCTCTCTCTCCATCTCTCGCTCTTCCTCCAGGACCAGGGGCTCCTCTGTCTTCTCCCACAGCCTCAGCGAGCGGTCATGTGACGAGCTGACCAATGTGTTACCGCTGGGGCTCAATGCAAGGCTCCTCACCTCTCCGTGGTGACCCTGAGAACAAAATACATCACCTGAATAAATATTTCTACACATAGTTAACTCTTTGAACCCCATCGGACACTGGGAGCGTCCAGTAGGCTACTAGTGACAACTGTTTCGTTTTATTTACTGCTAGTTTTCGCTTGTTTTTCGGAACTATTCCCGAACAAATTTTTTTTAGTAATGTCTAAGCCTTTGTTTCCGCTATTTAGAAGTTGGAAGCAAGCTTCTGGGGTTATGAGACAGAGTGCAAAAGGTTTAGATGACTAGAAAAAACTCCGAGCTTAAAGAGTTAAAATACAGTCAAAACTTGCTCACAGAGTCAGAGTAGAAAGTTTTATTTTCTGCAACTTGATAGTCAGAAAATGTTCATTGCACCATCTGGAAAACTTAACATTAGCTTATACAGAAAATGATGTCTTCCGAAAACTGGAACATGTGGCATTAAATAAACTGTGAAGCCAATTAAACTCTTCAAAGGAAGCCCTACTTTGCTTTGGTTATTTATTACTCATGCAAAAAGTGTAACAGGTCTGCAAGGTAGACATAGATATAAGTCACAAAGGTAACAGAATTTCTCTCACCTCCAAAGTCAGGATATTCTCAAAGTTATCGGCATCCCACTGCTTCACTTTTCTGTCTTTGCCTCCCGAGAAGAACAAATGTGTCTTGGGCACAAACCGGACACAAGTCACACTGAAAAAAGATGGGGAAAAAATAGTGGACACGTTTTGAGTTCAGCTCAAGACAAAACCGAGAGTAGCAGATTTTTCATAAGATGATAAAATGAAGAACACTAAAAAAAAAATGTCAAATAAATCATACAATCCTGTTTCCTATAGGCCTTATGTAGAATAAAGGAATCACTATATTCAACATATTTTGGTTCTCTAGGTTAAAATCTGAAATATATTTACATTGAATTTTAATATTTTAACATTTTAGCATTTTAGAATCAATTAGTTAACCAATCGTGCAGCGAACTTTTGCGAAAGTAAACAACTTGTGTTTCGCGTGCTCATATGACCTTAGCAGTTGCGAGCGCCGTAAAACCCTATACTACTACTACTACTACTACTAAAATCCCAACAGTGAGGACATGTTCTAGGAAGAAATACGAGAAACACAGGAATACCCACTATCTATTCAAAATTCTTTAACCCTATCCATACGCCCTGGGATCATTTTGTACCCCCGGGGCTGTATTATTCACATTTTAGAATACTTCTAGTGGGAAGATCTCTTTGAAACTTTCTCAGTATTTCTCAAGAAATCATTCAGACAGACTGCTATGCAAAGCGTACGGATCGAATTAAAGACTAAATTTCCTCTTCGGAAAGTGGTGGCACAGAGTTCCCCACTTTGTATGGATACAATAGTAAAACACGACGTACGGATAGGGTTTGAATACAACTTAAACGTTCTAAAGTTACAATTCACAGACGCTGGCCATCAGATCAGCTTACCTTTCATCATGAGCAAAAATGGATTTGTGACAGTCCCCAAAATCCAAGCCCCAGATTTTTATGTTGCGATCTGCCGAACCTGTGATGATGAGAGTGCTATCCGAGGAGATGTCCATGCTGGTCACTGGCAGCTTGTGGCCGTAAAGTGACAGGAAAAACTGGAACAGAGGAAAGATCAAACAAAACATGTAGCTAGAAAATCTAAGAAAGAACGAGTTCCATTCATAGTATACAAGAAATGAACTCAAGCTTCAAATTCATAAATAATAATAAAGTGAGAGCAAAATCAAGAAAACAAAAGTCCATTGAAACTCAACAATCAAATGCCATTGCCTTTTTTCACACAAAAATACTTGATTCGTCCACATAATTATCTCTCCTTTCCTTTTCTCTCTCTCACACTCATAGGCATACACTTACAAAATTACAATTATATTCATAAGAGCATCAAGCCCTAATACAATGTCTTCATCATCCACGTTCCACTCACCTTCAGCGTGTCAGCAAAAAACACTTTGACAGTGTTGTCTAGAAGAGCTACAGCCAACAGTCTGTGGTCCGGCCTGGGAATATAACAAAAATTTTAATAATAAAAATAACATTAATAATAATAACTGCATTTATATAGCCTATAGCAATGCTCTACAGTAAGCTCTGAACGCTTTACAACATACATTTTACAACAGACTGTTGAATATCCATCCAAGTCTTTCACATAACTTCAATCATAGAAGTAGAAAAACCCTTTAAAAAGGTAGACCTTCTGCCTCCCCAGAAAAAGCAAACACACATCAAAATATCACGACTTCAGTGTTTTCTTGTCCTGTCTCCATTTTTAACAACAGTGAAAATAACATACATAAATACACAATATTATTACACGAATACAGAAAAAATGTCACAACCATGCCATAGCTGGTCACCACTGTGCAACCTATTTTATTACTATAATGACACTGTCAGAGAGGGTCACCTGTCTAAGATGACCACTTTTTTTCTAGATAATGACTTTGAGCGGTCCTCTTGGCCAGGGGCAAAAGTACTTATCTTTGAAATTAATTACCATCAAGAACAGAACAATGGTGGCATGGGCAACTTTGGAAAATATCTAACATTATTATGAATTTGTCTTATAGCTCCTATCATTTAATGGAGTCAAAGAGCTATACCTTCACTTCTAAACTAAAACTACAAGAATGCATCACGTAGACCACTGTGATCCCATGCCAGAGGGTTTTTTTTTAAACATTCAACTTGTCCAGTCAGCATCCAACACCTCAAATAAAGCAGAGAGCAGGGCTTTAAACAGTTAAACAGCTTGCCAGCTATGTATCATATTTTGGGAGAGGAAATTTTAATTCCAATTGAGACGTCAAAAAACTGTTTGTAAAGATTTTTAAATGTTAAAGTCTTTAAACTGGCTGTAAGTTTGCGTCGTGCACAGACACCTGACAATATTTGAAACCACTTACGAAAACTTCACACCAAGAACATCCTCGTCCATTTTCAGTGTTCTTGTATGTTCCAAGGTCAAGACTTTGCTGCAGAGTAAAAGAAATAAAAACTAGGTTAAATTCAAAAACCAGCAAAAAAATAAGATAAGTTAGGCCATGTAAAAATACCAGGGGGGGAGAAAACAAAGGACACACTGTAACTAAGAGCAAAAAACTGTTTCAACCTTTGGTCAGTCACCCAACGGGGAATGACTAAACTCTACTCTCACCACAAAATCAGCAGCGAAAAAACAATTTCCGGAATGAACAGAGCTCAAACATTGTGCACACAAACGAAATCTTTCAAAACAATTCTCAACCTACGAGTAAGCACAAAAAACACTCACTGTTGCACAGTCTGCGTGGGATCACTGGTCAGTTCGTAGTTCCAGAACTTGACCTCATGGTCAGCCCCTCCGGACACTAGGCCTCTCTGTCACAAACAAAACAAAACACTTTATATATCATAAGCTATTTAGATGAGTAGAAAAAATAAGTGGAGCATTTCCTTAACATTTTGCAGTCACTTGGCGCCAGGCCTGAGAAGTCCGTTGCAGTCACTGTCCTCGCTGGTTGACCACATGGGGTATTTTGTACTGCTGGCTGTGTGACTGCAGAGTGTTAAACAGCCTTTTTTCAACAATGATAAAGATAAAAATAACTGCATTTATATAGTCCATATCAATGCTCTACAATAAGCTCTGAATGCTTTACAACATACATTTTACAACGGACTGAAGAATATCCAACCAAGTCTTTCACATGACTTCAATAACTTCAATCATAGAAGCAAAAATAAGCCCCCCTCCCCAAAAAAGGTAGACCTTCTGCTTCCCCAGAATAAGCAAACATACATCAACATATCACGACCTCAGTGCCTTCTTCTTGTATCTCCATTTTTAATCACAGTAAAAACAGTTCATAACAAAGAGTGAGCTTAAGAAGAAGTCACATTTTCAGTTACAAAAAATGGAGATCCGACAAGAAAGCTCAGAGATCGCGATATGCTGCCCCTAAATTTATGCCTTTTGGTGTCTCTGCTACACACAAAATATGTTTGAGGATCTCAGATCCAACCAGCTTTTCGCACCCAAACCCTCAATAAGAGCCGAGTAAAAGAATCACCTTGTCCGGCATGGGCGCTATAGACCACACAGCCCCGGTGTGAGCCTCCACAGTCTCCAGTAGTTTCCCTTGGCTTGTGTCAAACAGCTGCAGCTTGCCACTCTGCCAAAAACAGGGTAAAAAGAAAAAAGAAAAATAGTGTCGCAGGTTTGCCAACTTTTACAAAAACGTATCACGCACATTAAATGTTATGATGACATAACTTGAGAATACCAAACAACAAATAAAGTTACATGAAGTAAGACTGGTTTCCCTGACAGCTGAATCTGGGACAGTCCCCAGAAATTTGGAACAGCTGGCAAGTCTAGTATTGTGAATTTACTCCAACACTCCAGGCGTACAGCAGTTTATCCTTACTGGTCACATTTCGAACGGACTTAACCACTTCAACTACCTTGGAAGTATATATTATATCTCTGGCCAGCCGCTCTCAGTGGCTTGCGGTTGGGAACACTGCGCCAGTGAGCCTTTACGATGACTTCGAAGTCAAATTACTTTTCGGCATTGCCGAAAATGCGTCTCTTTTACCGGGAGATAATTCATTAGACGAAGAACTATCTAAATTGGTTCACATTTTTATATTTAGTGACCAGTTAGTGACATAAATGTCAGATTTAGATTTCGTACCAAAATAGGGTCCCAGCATAGTGGGTTTACCCCCCACGGAAATTAAGAGTGAACACATCTACATCTGTTCCCCAGTTGTTCAGCTAGTATCATGCCAAACAGAAAAACGAAAGACATTGGTCTGCATCCCTGACGGGTCATTTTTGATGATGGATAGTTTAGGGAGTTATCAGTGTCCACTCACTTGGCTCTGGCATACAGGAACGAGATGTTACAGAGATAAAAAGGGTGCCAAATTCATACCACACCACAAACAAAGCGACAGTAGCATACACGCATCTACTTGTACAACAACTAAAGCATCATCATCAAGCAGATGGATGAAAGTTCTGCAACCCCAAAGGATTTTACAGTATTTCGAAGAAAAATTGTGGTCGGCTTCAGAAGTCATGAGAAGATATTTCATACAACAAAATTAAAAATTATTTTTATTCCATATTTTTTCTTTAAATATATTTAAAGATACCCTTTGATTACAAACTTAACAAAAAAAACTTGAAAATAGGTTAACATTTCAAACCCACAAACTTCAGGCCATTTTTAAATATCGTCAGCTACTAAAAATGTCTCTGCTTACCTTTGTGCCAATGACGGCGTGGCGATCCCCAGTGACGAAGAGAGAGCACAGGGCGTACTCACAGGACATGGTGCGGATACACTGTAAGGAGTCTCTGTGCAAGACAAAGAATTGTTGTGTTTCAAGAGAGTAACAAACACGAAAAAAGAAAGAGTTGAGATAAGGACGATAGATGTTTGAAAGGAAAGATGGAGCAAGCAACACCAAGGCACCCGCCAAATACCCACGCAAGACTGATAAGAAAGAAAGTCAGTACTTGTGATTCAGTTATACAGTAGCAACTCAACACATAGATGGCTTCAAGGCTCTAAGAAAAGGCACATTTGATATAATATGTTAGTGTAATGAGAAGCACATTGGCAAGACAACGGTCACTTTGAGCAGGGAAAAAGCAAAACAGACAGAAACAACAACGGAAAAGAAAAGAAGTAGGACCTACCAGTAGCACCTTCCAACCACCCAGATAGCAGTATTTTACTTTAATCCTCTGTACAGCTGATTATGATGAACATGGGCTGGGTGACAGAAGAAATGACCAGGATAACAGGTTGTTTTTTTTAGGAGAATCCAAGCAGAGAAATGTGTCTTGAAACATGACTGCTCATGTCAATTTCAGACCTTACACTTGAAGAAAGAGAAGCAGTAGTTACGAGGTTCCTGGTAGTTTGCGAGAAAGCTCACCGATTCCACAACTTGACCTCCTCGGCACTGGCAGACAAAATGGTGGCGTTGTCGAGACTGACGCTCAACGCTCGCACCTCCGTGCGGTGTCCGGCCTGGGAGAGAGAGGATACCTCGCTCAGCTCGGCCTTGTGGTTGGCATGCTGGAGGACAGCGATGTCCAGACGGTTGTCCGCCAACAGGGCGCAGATCTGGAGAGGTCAAAGATCACAGAGTTATACTCTCTTTGCCACAGTCTAAAGCAATCCCTCGAAATCTAGCAACATCTTCACTCTTTTTATCCGGGCTACAAGTAAATTCAGAACAGCTATACGATAATAATAATAATAAATAGCATTTGTATAGCGCATATCCCTGCTCAACTGCAGGCTCTATGCGCTTTACACTATATTATTACCCCAGCAGACAATAGAACACTCCGAAACATTCTCAGCTTCCGCGGAAGCATACAGTGCAAGCTGCGGATTTCACGTGCTCAAACACAATCAAATTGACAAGATCTTTCTCTGTCTATAGCTGGGTACCCATTTCCACCTGGGTGAAGTGAGGAAAATATGTGCAAAGTGCCTTTCCCAAGGACACAACGTCGGGCCCCTGACGTGATTCGAACCCACGACCTTACGGTTGCGAGTCCGAGAGCCTAACCACTAGGCCACCGACGCCACTAAAAGAGCTAATTATGCTTGCTATTATTACCAAAATACGCAAATGCGGCGATGCTAGCTCTGTCTGAATATTTAAATTTTCAAATGAACAGTGGTTTCTTTGTTTTTGATGGGTGTAGAAGCTTGAAAAATGTCTCGAAAACACACATTCACGACCGTAAAGTACTTTTTGAAGTGGCTCTGGGTTGTGAGGGGGAAATGAGACTAATTTGAAGAAAGTGACTCTGAATCAAGTGCCGTAAATTCCATTGTGGATGATAACAAACAGGACTTAGACTCATCTAATAGCGATTCAGATCATGGTGAAGAGGTCAGTACTGGAATTTGTGCAGTACCGATGGGTAGGGCTAGATCTATAAATCCAAGGGGACGTTGTGGAGTGGCAGTCAGGGTCAAATTGGAGGGTGGAATACACCTCAGAATCTACATGATGCAATTGGTGTAATTCCTAACCACATATATTTTCAGATACTACATTTCATTTCTAACATAACTGCCTAATTTCCTTAAAATCCAACAATAAACGTGAGAACAACGGCACTTTGAAATATACACATTGAATTCAAACTCATCAGGCGCGGCAGCCCCAGGACGGGTACAGAGTGCGTGGGGGTATGGCCAGGATAAAAAGGGTTAAGTCACAGGGCTATTCAACTACAAAACAAAACAGACACATTTTGAAACCTGAAACTTTATAGAAACACTAACATTTTCAACAGCTATTTAAAGCCTCTATTACAGCCAATGAGAAAGACAAATTAAGACGAGAAGCAAAAAACAGTATAAACCGGTCTTTACTGACACAAAGATCCAGAAAATTATGTTGTCTCAAGACGAAACTTGTCTTAATACAGCAAACATCATTTCCAATCTAGTAATTTTCAGCTCCAAACTGATTAACCCAATCCGTACGCCCTGGGGTCATTTCGCACCCTTGGGGTTGTATTCTTCACATTTTAGAATACTTCTAGTACAAAGACCTCTTTGAAACTTTCAATATTTTAAAAAAAATCATTTTGACAGACTGCTAATCAAAGGGTATGGATTGGATAAACGAGTGAATTTCCTCTTTGGAAAGTGGTGGCACAGAGTTCCCCACGTCGTAAGGATATGATAGTAAAACACGACGCAAAGACAGGGTTAGCAATAGGGTTGTAATAACACTTTTTAGATCACGTAGTTCAACTCAGGCTGACCAGAGACTCACCCTTAGTTCTTTGTTGTGGTCATAGCAGGCGTGCACTGACCAGAGCTTGGCAGAAAAGCGGAATCGGTCAAGGCGCTTAATCTCATCTTGAAGCTTGATAGTCACGCTGGCTGTGTCAACGTCTTCTCCCGAGTCTCTGACAACAGAAAAACACAAAATTGAACAACATGAAAGAACTCTCATCAGACATGCATGAAAAAGTCACTTACTTGAAATCATAATAAAGGACTTTCTATCACGGAGGGGGAAAAAATAAAACTGGGTTGGAATACAAAAACACATCTCAAACATGACTTCTGGCCCCACCACCACCCCCACGAAAAAAAGCAAGCCTGCAGGGACTGAATATAACATACACAATACTTCCACCCAATAAAAGACAGACATGAACCTGAGCCCACCTCTGGTATATAAACAAAATTCAATTTTTACTCAAAATCCTGATTGGTAATGTCTTAAATCCCTGACTTTCCTTCCCAGACACGGGCACACCTGTCTAAGCCTGCAACTTGAAACAAAAGCAGACAATCAGTTCTCAAACAAACAAATTGTTTCTGAGGTGCTTTTCTAACTTTTTAAACTTTAAATGACAGGGAAGTGACAAAAAGAGAGAAACAGTAGGGAAGGAAAAACTATATGTAAGAGAGAATAATAGTAATAATGAGAAAAGGATGAAAAACCAGCCCCTAAGAAAAATGTTTGTATCACACTTACAAATGTCTCTTCCTAAGCTTCTTGATCCGCTTTGCTCTTAGTTTGTTGAGTCCTTCTTCAGTTGGAAGTTCAAACACTTCCAAGTGCTTGTCTGTGCCCTGAGAAGGAAAGAAAAAGGAAATAAAACATTCTCATTAATGAAAACAATAAGCCAAAATGCTCAAAAAATTGAATCCAGTCTCACATCTTACTCTTCCAACATTGTTAAGGTACAGAAATGTTTTGTTGTTATCGATCCAGAAAGAAATGTTTTAAAACCTAAGATAACAGAGGAAACTATGACACTACATGTTTTCAACATTTCACTTTTACGTGTTCATTGAAAACAAAAATATCCCCCAGTAAAGCCAATTCCACGTTTACACAATTGTAAAACACGAGCAAAAGCCAATACAACTTTAACACATATTAGTTGCAATCTCCCCGTAATCATTTATCTTTTCAAATCGAGCCCAGAAAGGACACAAGAAACTTTATTTTGACCGTAAAAGACAAAGAAAGCAATACTAAAAGTTAAGATAAACATTCTGCGTGAGAAAAGTTTTCAAACTTCTCCAGTGTGTCTTGCATTCTGTACATCAGCTTACATGACAAAGCAGTAACTTTTCCTCGGGATCAGAGGTCAGGCAAACAACACGCTCTCGTCCTTGCCTCATGACGGACCCCACTTTCTTGCATGTGAGGATACGCTAAAGGAAAGAAAATAAACGTAAATGAAATTCACGTGACAAGCAATTGCAATGCATGACTTGAAAACAAAGCGGTCTTATAGTTTATTGTCACAATTATTATTCAATTAAAAAGAGCCTCTATCGCACAGAAAAGTAGTCATCAACTCATCAAGAACACATGCACTATCTGCATATGTGATACAGAATTTCCCCTACAGAAGTGAAAGCTGCTCATTTGTAAATTTACTGCCACACAGCTCATGGCACCAAAAAAATGATAGGTAACATTTCAGTGACTTAACATAATTCACCCCAAACCATAATTCACAAGACGAGCCTCAGCTTTGCAGCAGTAAAGAACAGAGAAAAAAGATAAAGATTGAAGACTAAGATACCCTGTAAAAAAAAAAAAAAAAGCATGTTCTACCAGAGAAAGTCGTAATGGTGAAACATGTTGGAGCCGGAATACACAAGACGAGATGAACTGTTAAGACATGATATAACCAAATAGGTGCGACACTGCATTTTCTTCTATGAGTATATAGAACTATTTGATAACACAGGAGCTTAAAATAAAATAAATCAAATTCATTACAGTGACAGACAAATCAATTGACAATTTATGTAAATTTTCAGTTGTTCATGCACACATGTAGAATCTTTTCTTTTTACATCCACTGAGGGTAATACAGCCTAAGATATCTATCTGTACGACAGTCTTGCCTTTTCATTTGACTTCCCACAAAGGCAAACTCATCACTGCTCTGTCCACAATGGTCAAAATGCAGTTCATTGAATACACCAGACGTGTTTGGTTCATACAACTATAGACAAGACTACTAACAGTCACATGTTGTTATCATCATAGACATGCAATCATTCCGAACGAATGAGAATAATAACAAATAGAACAATGATAACTCACCATGGCTTCATCATTGGCTTTCTCTTCCTCCGTTCTCTCATCATCACTTTCATCATCCTCTTGGCCTTCATCTGTTTCAGTAAGTCCTCCTTCAAGCTTCCTTTTCTTGGCAACTGGACCCGAACTTGTGTCCATTTTCATATCCTCCTGTTCCTAGTATTCAGGACAAAAATAGCATGTTAGGCCAACATAATATGATAATGTAATACAAAACATCTACAGCAACTGTCACAAAACCGTTTTCCAAAATAGCCAACCAACACGACAACATCTAATTTTTTAATCATCACCATCACTCCAACGACCGAAGTAATCAACAAAGTTCAAAAGAGAAAAATAATAAGAGTCCATTTGATAAACATTTTTGGCTCAGTACGAGACAGATCTGTCATTAGGGCAGGACATAATTATCTACTTGACCAATTTTGTCGTTACTTTTACAGAGGTGCCAACGATATGACAAAAAAATCCCAAACTTTCCAACCAGTAGAAACGTGTAAGCAGGGATTCAAAATTTACAGATCATACTAATACATCTGGTATCTGGACAACTGGCCTACGGTCAGACAAAATGTGCACAATTTCAGAAATCTGGAGGTCCACATGAGAGGCAGCGAGGTGAAATCAGGCGCTTGTCAAAATAATGAAAGTCAAGAAACTGGCATTTTTCTGCAGGTTTGGGAATTTTTATCGAATCTTTATTTTTTTTGCTTAACACCTTTCATGCCCATTAAAGAACACATTTCGGTGTGAATGTGACTGAAAAAAATGTTGATTAAAGGCATAAAAGAAGAAAAATTTCAGTTTCCAGGGACTCTCAAGCTAAGGAAATAACTCAACTTTGACGGCCATTTTCTTGCTAAATTGACCTCAGAAACCAGATGACCCCCTCCTCCTTCAATCGCCAATATCTTGACTTGTATCCAAGACAAATGGATATTTTTTTACACCAAAAGCAAGGTGAAGGGACAGGCTTTAAGACGGTACCATAACGCAGGCCCGGAAATTGACGAGCGCCTGATTGCACCACATCGTAACACATATATTTCTGGTGAATTGGCCCCTCTGCTTTCAACATGTGGCTGACCAGCAATTCAAAGAGGAACTACTCTCGACTCTCTCGACTCACCTCAGCAGTGAGGTAATGGATGTCCCACACTCTCAGCTCACTGTCCACGGAGCCAGAGACAAGCCGAGTCTCGTCTCGCAGCAGCACAAAGCCGTACACCTGGAAGGAACAAAACAAAAAAACAAAAACAAAATTATAGAAAGTTAACTCTAAAATGACCTATACATAGAGAAGAACCAAATTCACATTCACGCCACAAAATTCCATAATTTTGGTTGTTGCTCAACCAGGGTATTCACAATGGCATTTGCCTCGGGTCAATAAGACAGGAGGTTTAGCAGATACATTGTATATAAAAACATGTAACACCTGAACATAGAATAAAAATCAAATAAGATTAACACTACACTACAGTTCACCTTCAAAAACACCATAAATGAGCCTCAACACAACCTGCTGAATGAATAAAGCTAAACTGAGCAATGGTTGTCTTTTCGGTAAGTAATTACCTCAGTGACAATACTTCAAACGCCCAGATGAGTACGGCGCGTCATATCCGAATTTAGCCCACCCCATCCCTCTCTCTTCCAATACAAAGGCTCCATATAAACCCAGAGAGTTACAAAGAACTAATTATAAAAACCAGCAATAACAAGACGCAATAGCTACGATTGTCACTAATTTTGAGTCTACAGTAAAAAAAATAAATTTTTTTTAAAGATTAAATAATATCAGAAGAAACAACATACGTTCATAGTCCCAAATGCTAACATACTCTAAACCGTTAACATGAAGCAATTACAAGCATAATCATGACAATGTAGGGTAATAATATAGTGTAAAGCGCATAGAGCCTGCTGTTTAGCGGGGATATGCGCTGTACAAATGCTTTTTTTTTTTTTTTATGTATTCCACTGGCATTTGCACTGCTTACCTCAGCCCTATGACCAACTACTGTATAAAAGCAGTGCTGGGTGCCCAGGTCCCAAAACTTGATGTAGCCGTCTTTTGAACTGTTGAGGAGAAAGAAGAAGCACTATTACTTCCGTCACGACGCTGCAAAAAGACTAGAACAAAGACAACATGAGAGAATTGACCGCAGAACTACTTGGGAAAATTGACTTGAAACAGCCTTCAATGAAGGAAGTGGCAAACAGATTATAATAAGGAACAGGGCCACACTTTACTGTTACCATAAGTCAACTTCATCAGTCTGGGAGTAAAGACTTAAAAAGAAACCCTAGTAACAGTGCTGGAAGGTATAATTCAGTCCCTCATCCTTGGTACATCCCAGCTGAGAGTTCGTAAGTTACTGTCTGAGGAGAAAACAAGTAACAAAAAACAAAAATTTTGATTTTTTTTTTATAACACTTGTGATTTATAAGAAAATAGGAAACATGCTAAACACTTTTAAAGTAAATAAAAAGGCTTGGTGGTTATGCCTAACATTAATAAGACAAATATTAATCATATCATGTTTTTGTTTGTTTTTTGCTTCCAAAGAGAAGAATAATTCACAATACAATTGGAACTTCAGACTAAAAATTACATTAACAATCTTGTTGTACATGACATCCTTTTCTCTCAGTATAATAATCGCAAACACACACGCATTAGACAACAAACTAAGATGGGTAGGAATACCTCGTGACCAGCAAATCTCTATTCTTTAGAAATGTCACTTTGGTGATCTCCTTCCTGTGTCCCTTGAGCCTGAACAGTCCAGACTCGCTGACAACATCCCAGAGAATTACATCTGTGTCCTGTAATGAACGACAAGTGCAAAAAAACAAATTTTTTTTTTTCTTAATGACCAACTATTGTAATCCAAATTTTTTTTAAAGAGCAGTGCCAAAAGGTATGAGCTCAGAGTCTGCTGGACCAACTTATTGTTGTTTTAGTAAGTTTTACATCACTTGCAAAACAATTAGGACATAGAAGTGCCAAAGACTAGAGATTTAACAAGAGAGTAACAAACACACAAAATAAGTAGAGAAAGGACGACAGGATCAGATGTTTGATGGGAAAGAAAGAGCAAACCACGCCAGAAAACCTGCCAATCACCTATTCTGGAACAACACAACAACATTCGGGCAAAGGAGAGTCAAAAATAGATCAAAGTGGTCATAAACAGCAATAAACACTATCATATCATGTTTTGGGGGTTTTTTTTGCTTCCAAAGAGAAGAAGAATTCACAATACAATTGGAACTTCAGACTAAAAATTACATTAACAATCTTGTTGTACATAACACCCTTTTCTCTCAGTAATAATCGCAAACTTACTTTACTTTACTTTTCCGATCCAGCGGCCATTTGGGTTCTAGCCCTTCGGTCTGTATAATCGCAAACACTAACGCTAGTTTATTCAAGATTCCCCTTTGTGTTTTGTTTGAGTAGAGATGCACATCAACACAATCAATAACTGCCATTTAGTACAGGGCAAGAGGAAGATGGACAGACACAAAAGAGGTAAAGAAAAGAAGCAGGACCTGCCAGTGGCACTCTCCAACCACCTAAGGTTCCCTTTGTAGACAATTCCATTTCAAAACGTAACATTTCAGCCCCACGGCTGAAATCCAATTAATGTATCAGCTGAGAAAGACTGTCAGGAGTTTATAAAAATATTGACTTAAGTCTCAGACTGACCCCAAGTTCAATAAATAAACAATCAATAAGTTTATACCTTAGCACCAGAAACAAGACGGAGGCCATTTGCATCATAAGAGAGAGCAGTAACAGCAGATTTGTGACCTTGAAAAGTCACGTCTGACTGGCCAGTACTGAGGCTAAAAATCCTTATGGTTCCATCATAATAACCAACTGCCAAATCATCAGTCTTTGGGCTTTTGGCCAGACATGAAACTTCTGACTTTGCTCCCAGAAGACTTAGCACCTGAGGGAAAAAGTAAAGAACTATGATTAGGAAAAGTAAGCACTCAAATACGACGGGGAAAAAAAAAGATATCTTTTACATTTTAACAAGATATTTAATTTAGTAAATAATCACGAATACTGAAAAAAAAATGTCAATAATGTCTCCAGAGTGTGCTTTCAAAAGAGTAGTGTATGAGATGTATTTATGTTAGAATATAATGTTCACTGAGGTGAAAGCTCAAAATTTCAGGAGTCAGAAATGGTGAAAGTGAATAATAAATATGAGAAAGGAAGAAACAGAGCATTTGTTAAAGATTTAAGGAATTCATTGTTCTAATAAACAACAAAATGAAAGTTCTCTTCTGAACTGTTAACTGTAAAGTTCCCTCCAGAAACTGAAATCAGAGACAAACTGTTGCCAGAATCATTATACTATACAACTTTGTACAAAATGTGGTTGGCATCGGAGCATCTCTACAGTCTTCAAATGTACAAAAGAAACATGTATACAGTAGTACGAGAGTCTACTATTCAAATTCAAGGAAAGGAAACAGTTAAAAGAAGAAAATAACCAGCAGTGAATACAGACAAATTACCTTTTCTTTCTTCACCAGATCCCATATGTACACGTTTTCACAAGCGCCAACAGCACATCGCACGGAACGAGAGGCATCCCCTGGTAGAGCAAGAATGTTTGACTTCTGACTGGCTACAACGCCAAACACAGGTCCTGGTGCCACTCGGAGGTACTGTTTTGTCACACCCATGCTTCAAGCTCAAACTGAAACATATAAATATTTTTCAAACTTAGTTACAGTTCAAGTCGCTATAACAACCACCTGTAAAATAAGACAATTACCTCTGTTCAAACCACCACTCACCCCCTCCCCCTAGCGGGGTTTTTTTTTACATAAAAAATAACACCGAGTAAGACGACCACTTTTTTCCTCAACAATGAGCAATATGTGGCTATCTTAGACAATTTTTACTGTGTATGAGAACAGATATCAAATAAAAATTTTGAGGCGGTACATCTTCAAAGGTGAGCATTTTAATATAAATGAAGTCAGTCTCAAAATTTGCTTCCAATGACCCCGTTAATCATGTGAACTATTAGCACAGTACGAAATCAATAAATGTTCAAGACAAATTTGATTTGGCCACGCCCTTTTGTTGATATACTGCTTCTGGTAAGCCTATGTTAGTATGTACTGTATTCAGCCAACTAGTCAATTAGTAGTTTAAAAATAAGTACTGGGTCTCTGGGTAACTGTTTGTTTTAATGTTAGAGATGAAAATAGGCCTAAAGTTGAACATGTCCTGGACAATCAAGAGGGAAAGGCGGTCATCTTAGTAAAACAGGTGCTCTTTTTTAAGCAGGCCAGACAAAAATGAAGAAATAAAAGTATTTCCTTGTTAGGTCTTGAGTAGGCCCCTGGTATAGTCATTGTAATCAATGGGGGCAAAAACCTGATCACCGCAGTCGGATTTCATAAAGTTTTAAGAAGCTAGATCTTGATCTATGCCTCTATCTATAGCCGGCTCTATGTCTCTGAACGTTCGGGAAAATAAACTTGAACTCTATTTCTCTGAACGGTTTCCGTTCTCGAGTTTTTTGGTTATTTGCGAATGGAGTGGCCCGTGTGTGTGAGTGTGTGTGTGTGTGGTGTGAGTGTGTATCATGTGTGTGTGTATGTGTAAGGTGAACGGTTGGGGGGGGGGGGGGGATTTTTTTTTTATTTAGTTTTTGCTTTAGGGGTGACTAAATGCAAAATAGGTTACTGCCAAAGTCGAGCAGTCTTGTTTTCTCGCAGTACCCTTTGAAGGCATTTTCAAATGAAGGAAGTATAGTCCAGGAACGTTGCTCCAACTACAACTGAAGTACAGTCAAACCTGTGTAAGCCGCCACCCATTGTCAAGGAGAAAAGTGGCCGTATAAGACAGGTGGCCGTCTTAGGCAGGACTGATCAGGACTAAGAAAACAAACCATTCCCATCTGAGGTCCCAATCTAAAGTAGCCGAGATCTAGATCTAGATTAGATCGGAAAAAAACTATGTTCGGAAGGAGTTAATATAAAAAACAAACACGGCGAGATCTAGTCAACTGGCGAGGGAAACCCCGGAAGACAACAAAAATAGATGGAGGAAACACGTTCATATATTTGGGCCAATCACAGAAGAGGTGTAGTGTAGGAGCTCGTTGTAGCTTCATGTGTAGCGTAGCCAAAACCCAAACTCCATAGCCATAGACGCCATAGTTAGTTATCGTTGAGGCTAAAACCGGGGTGCTTTTTCGGTAGTTCCCACCCCCCCCTTATATTTTGAGCCTGACCTAGATCTACATCGAGATCTATACGTTTGATGCGAGCTAAGATATCAAACCTAACAACTGCGAAACATCAAATTATGGTCAAATTCAGGGGGGCATGCCCCCCTGAAACCCCCCCCCACATTTTTATTAGGACAGGGGGGCAAGCCCCCCTGAAACCCCCCTCTCTTGAGGCCAAAACCGGCGAATAACAATTGCGGGGTGGGAACTACCGAAAAAGCGCCAAAACTTTTGGCAAAACCGGATTATCCCATGACTACCATTTAGGCCCTACTAATTCTGGGCTCAATAAATAGCCTGTAAATTAGAAAAAAAAAAGGCAGGCTATGGACACACTGAGTCTGAGTAAAAGTAAAATCAAAGTCAAAAGAATGGAATGGTTACAAGATCTGACTGATGACTGATGATAGAAACAGAAAGTGGGTCTATTGACAGGACGCAACAACAATTACAAAGTAACAAAGTATTCAATCTATTTCTTTACACTTTAAAAACGTCAAAACCTTGATTCTTACAGTTTACTCTCTGCAACTATGAAGGATGACCGGTGCTTCCGTCACTAGGAATCCGCGTGTGGTGGTACATAAACATTGCAAGCCGCCATGCTGGAAAAAAACTACATTGGATAGAGAGACGAGAGAGAGAGAGCGTGTTTGATTGATCATTCTACCTACTTCCGGTTTCGCTTTCGGTATTTATGCACAGAACATGATAATAACAAAGATACTTTTATAAAATAAACATGCTTCAAGAGAGAAAATTAACGTCTTATTACGATGAATCTTTCACTGCCAGAAAAAAATCCAATGCAGTACACATTTAATATGAACGACGCAAAAAGCCGGGACCTTATAGTAACCATGTGTTAAATAAGTTTACCCCTACGTTCGGGCAGCCCGGTTAGCTCAGTCGGTAGAGCATCAGACTTTTAATCTGAGGGTCAAGGGTTCGAGTCCCTTATTGGGCGCTGCTTAATTTTTTTTTTTCTTCAATTAACTGTCCATTCGATGTTGTTGTTGGTTTTTTTTTTTTTTTGGTTTTTTTTTATAATGACAACCAAAAATATATAAGCTGCAGCATTTTAAGTCGAAAAAGATCCCTTTTTTCTCTTGACTAATTAATGAACTTGCGTTTATCTATCTGTCTATAAAGCTGGGGGCTGGGAGGGGGGTGGGTTTAGTTTAATTTTCAAAATAAATGCATGAAAATATAGTCCTATCCCTGCTTTCTGATAAACTTATTTATGTGGTGGAGTGGAGAAGTTCATACCTTAATAACTCTGATTAGTATAATTTAATAGCCAATTAAAAGATAGGTATAAGAGTGAATAATTTTGTAAGCAATATCGGTAACAGGCCTACATGCCCCCGTTGTTCTTTGAGATCTGAGTTCACCGACGTACTCTAAGGTATCGAAGAAACGTCCTCCCCCCCCCCCCCCCCCCCCCCTTTTATTTTTTTTCCCACCCCCCCCCCCCCCCCCTTCCTTTCATTTATAAATGTTGGACCATCATGACGTGAAACATTATATCTTGATCTAGAATCTAGATATCTGAATGAATCTTCTTTTTTTTTTTCTTTTTTTTGTAAATGGAAATTACCCTCGGTACACTAGTACCGGTACCGGATTGGCTACCTCAATAATTTTCTGTGCATTGGTTTATTTTTTCTAATGAAACTGGTTTGTTCCTAAATGGGAAAATTTGTCACTGTAGTTAACTTACTATATGTGAGGCAGCGTGGTGGAATCAGGCTCTCGTCAATTTTTGGGCATGTAGAGTTATTGATATCATCTTAAAGCTTGTTCACCTGTCTTTATTTGGATGAAAAAAGTATTCATTTATCTTTAATACAAGTCGCGATATTTGCAATTGAAAGAGGTTGGAGTCACCTGTTTTCAGAGGTAAAATTAGTGAGAAAATGGCCGCCAAAGATTAGTTATTTCCTTAGCTTAAGAGCCTGTGGTAACTGATAATTTACATTTTTGTGCCTTTAATCAACGTTTGTCAGAAAAATCTACACAGAAAGGAGTTCTTTAAAGGGCATGAAAGGTTTGAGTCAAAAAACTAAAATTTGATGAAATTCACAAACCTGCGGAAAAATCCAGGTTTCTTCACTTTGATTATTTTGACGAGAGCCTGATTGCACGAGGCTGCCTCACATATATAAAAATGGCTGACATTGCATGATCTTTTGTTCTTTTATTTTCCCGGCTTGCCACGACCGACGATCATGTGAAACATTATAATATCTTTGTTTTGTTTTGTTTTAATACAGGTTTTACGGCGCTCGCAACTGCATAAGGTCATATATGAGCGCCATCATTATATCTAGAATCTAGATATAATATCTGAATGAAACTTCTTTTTTTTTTTCTTTTTTTTTTTTGTAAATGGGAATTATCCTCAGTACATTAGTGCCGGTACCGGATTGGCTACCCCAATAATTTTCTGTGCATTGGTTTATTTTTTATAATGAAACTGGTTTGTTCCTAAATGGGAAAAGTTGTCACCGTAATTAACTTACTATATGTAAAATCACTGAAATTGCATGATCCCTTGTTCTTTTATTCTCTCTCTCTCTCTCTCTCTC